TAATTGAAATGGACTCTACTAGTAGGAATAAATTTTAAGTAAGGGGGCGAAACCCTAAAGGAAATTACGTTTTATCACAATTCAAAGGAGCGCTAGATCAGAAGCTGTATAAGGACACCTTAATCGTAAAAAATTGTTTAATAGGAGAACTGGAAAAGAGATGTAACATAGACACCCCTTACCGTATCAAACATATAGAAGAAGATAGATAACTTCAACACAATTTCACAATAATAAGTTTCAATAATAAGTTTGTTTTAGTGCATTATTTTTTTCAAACATTGGTTTGTGGTTAATAGCGAAAATATTGTCTTTATCTTGTCTTCATAATATATATTTTTTAGAGTTTATATAATGGTGAGTACTTAGTGAAATGTTATGTATATGTTGGTTCAGTGGGAGTTGTTATTTAACTATGAATGTAAAACCGAATAATGTTGCATTTGTTTCAAATCCCGTTTACAATACTTTCTAGATACATCTACTCACGGGTCCCCATTGATCGCAATAAGATACATTGCGATACTAGGAAATAATTGTATAATATATTCAAAGTGTAGAAGCAGTTATAACAGCAGTCAGGCTTTATAACAAATCATGTGGTAAGTTAGTTCAACCAAGTTTTTTGCAAGGAAAGGTGAGGTGCCCTTAGCGAGTTACGGTTTCACAGCAGCAACAAATGTGTTTCCCCAGTGCTGATCACAATTTTCAAACTTTGCCGGTGCTCTGCTGCACTCAGCTTCTTTAGTCGCCAAACGGTCGAATAAATCACAACGTCGCTGATACCGTGTCTGTGCCTAACTTGTTGGCCAGATTGCCTTTTAATAGGCTTCTCAACTTGGACGATATATTTTCACTTTGGTATTGATACTGAAACCAATGGAGGTAACAAAACAATGTGTTTTTAACAAGATTTCCTTTAACCTTACATTCCTAATGTATTTACAATGTAAAATGTGTTTAGTTTACGCAAACCTATTTATTGAACGCATTATTTATTTGCTCACGTCCCACCGGAATCAAATAACTTGTGCCAAAATAACCCAAAAAGATTTGTTTGTTAGTCTAACACTACAGAATTGTATCACATAGATATTTGTAGAATATAACCAACCAACCCCAGGTAATAGTATATTTCGCTAGCGCCGAATGGTGTATTTCCCAGTGCACACGCTCAACTATCAGTATACTATTGTCGAATGTACTGTAGACGAGCCAAGGCGAGTACGATTCTGTACTCGGTCTACTCGGGTACGATCGGTATAGTTCCTCCTTCCATTGATTCGTGCTCGCATGTGCTGGAGCTGTTTGGTCAGTTTTTGGGACGGGTCAAAGGAGACGAGCAAGGTAAGCATGGGTGTGTGCTAAATGCGAACACACACGAACCAGTTTCAGTCCATACTCGTCTTCTTTTGTCTTTTATTCAGTTCAATATGTGATGCAAAGTAGTGCAATTGTGATCTTTTGTAAGATATGTAAGAAACATCTCTTTTAGTACGATTGATTGCAAAAACCCTTGATAGTTTATAGTTGGATTTTCGTTTTGTAGAACCAAACTCATGATCATCGGGGACTTCATATATCAAAACTTAGTTCAAAAGCACCATCACAAAAAAAAAGGAATGGGGACAATGTCTGATCCAGGTAGCAGTTTTGGCTTCGGAAGTTTTAGTGCCACAAACTAAGCCTTACTTATACAGAGTGTCCTAGAACTCCTAGTCCTAGAATCGTAGTTAGGTCGATACAAACACATTTCACAATATAAACACTGTTCTCCGGTGAAAATTTCTCCGTATATAGGTCTGTTTGTGTTTTTTATCAATTATTCTATAACTCAAGATTTATTTTGGTTAGAAACTTCATATTTAGTCTAAATGGGAACCTTAGTTGAATAAGTGTATAAAACGTCATTGCCATATCCAAACCAATAAAAACAAACTATGATTTTAGTATATAAGATATGATTAATTTGGTTCAGTGCATTTTTTTTGCCTCTATTAATGTTTTGTACTGTAATGGTTTACATGGAATTTGTCAATAACCAACGAATTATCTAACCAAAATTTACATTTGTAAACGGTACCGGTAGCCTTTTTGAAACTGGCTTAGTTAAAGCAATGAACTTTTATACACTTATTTTACTTATTAAGGTACACATTTATACAAAGTTTGAAGTTTCCATCTTAAATAAAACTTGAGTTACAAAATAATTTATAAAAACGTATAAAATTTAAAACCAGTCACCGAAGAACCATGTTTATTTTGTGAATTGTATCTGTCCGAACCTAAGAAACTATTATTTTTAAATGCTCCAGAGAGTTTCGGAAAACCCGGTATAGCTCAACTTATAGCTTAACTAAGAGAAATATGACATTACTGGTTTCACGAATAACAACGGAGGCATTTTTTGACCCCATTGTAGTAAATGTTTACACCTTACCATGTATATGAATACCCATTTGTTGTATAAATACCGGATACAGGGGAAAAAATTAGAGTGGATTTTTTGTCGATGTTTGATTTCAATAACATTTTGTAGACTGAGTTGAATCAAACATGGTTACGTTTAGCGGGGAAAAAGATGAGAGTCATATTAAATAATTGACCAAATATTCAGGTGTTAGGAAACTATTCAATCAATGCAAATGGAGCCGTATCTGGGAGCCATATGGAAGGGCACTGATAGAATACAGCCTTGCAATAAAATAGCCAAACAAATTCATGGAGACAGTTTTCACAGGAGGTGAACAGTCTCAGAGCTGCCGCCCGCCTTCAGCGGGTTCTAGCGTCCGAACCTATTGTACTCTTGGGATCTTTTAAGGTACCAGGAGGGCAATACACCACCGGGGTTGGTAGAAGTCTCAAACTTCTCCTTGAAACTCACTCCTTACAGCACTCACTCCTGGACACTTTCTGATTGGTGCACCTCTTACAGCAGTACCTGAACCTAACCTCCCAGCGGTTCCTGATAATCGTATCAAGCAATTGCAAGTATTTCATCAACGCATATGCTATAGAACACCTTGAACAACTTGCAACAACGCACCAAGTTCTGGTGCATGGACTCACCACCTCTCTAAAGGCGTCTCCCTCATAAAACAGCTGTTCATCCAGGAGCCGATGGGGTTGACCGAGTGATAGACTTAAAGATCTCAAGTGGTAGCCTTCACAAGACCTTCCCACAAAGTGATCCCTCTATTGGAATAGATAATGTGTGAACTGTTTTTGTTGAATCTACTAGGGATTCAAGGCCTCCGGTATGTTCAGTAAACTTGAAAAATCTATTTAAACAGTCTATGATATACGAATATTTACTTACTAATACATATCTTTTTCCATTACCATGTGTTACAATCATATTTCATTATTATAACTGTTAAAACATAGAGTATATTTTGTATGAAAAAGCAAACAAAACAATATGTTCTCTTGTAACCATTATAAATTTGCCTTCATTTTCTCTCTTTCACATATTCTTTTTAACTAGAGTATTTCCATTTCTCAACATTACACCTCTGATCATTCAAACTATTCATAGTTTTATTCTCTTATAACTCAATCATTAAATTTGTTCTGTTTAAATAACATTTTGTTTCCATACCAAATAACCACCCCTAATATTTATTCATCCAATCATTGAATGTTTAGAATATGAACATAACAAAATTAATGAAATAATTGATCAATAAAATGTCATAACACTTTGAAATCCATGTTACCTAGTTGGTGCTCATTGTGTTTATTTTACACTCAACTCTATTAGTGGCCAAAACCTTTTTTTAAACATAGCTACAAGTTGTTAATAGTATAATTGGTGTATTATATAGAAACATGACCTTGTTTTGGACCGTTACCTTAAAAAAATCCATTACAAATTCCAAAAGCGTGAATATAAAAAAAATGACTGAGTAGCTGATCGATTATGATTCTCAAGGAACAGTAAAAAATACCGGTTCAATCCTAAAAACGTCAGACTTTTTGATGGTTAAAAATGAAAAAAAAAATTCTTTATTTAATGAATAATTACACAACAAGGATATATTGTGCTTTCAATAAATGATGCAGACAGCAATATGTTAATATCATCGTAGTTATCCTTGTCTGTTATGCAATATATATATATATATATATTTATGTGTTCAAATAATTTCAAGAAAATATTTGTCTTACTCAGTAACAAAGCTTAGCAAGGCAACTTATGAATGCTTTATTTGGGTTGAAGTGATCCCAGCTATGTCCCAATCTCAGTTAGTAATAATATTAATTATATACAGGGTGATTGATATAATCGTGCCAGCCGTTTTATTCGAAAACCATAAGAGATATCAAAAAAAGTTAAACGGTAAGTGCCTTGGACTTTTTATTTAAAAAATTGTAGTAAAGTCGAAAAAATTATTTTAGCCGCCATTTTTCCAATATGGCCGCAAACTTTGATTTTTCTTATGGAACACCCTGTATTTTATTATGTATTCTGGTAAAAAATTTAATTTTAAGACGTTTTTATTCTTGTGATTTTTTTCATAAACCTAACCGTTTCAAAGATAATAATGGTTAAAGTTTTGAAATTTCTGCATGAGAAAGAGTTTCGATAAAGGCCTAAGCTAGCATGCCAGCTGTTTTATCCGAAAACCATTCAAAATTTAACAACTTAAACCATTATTATCTTTGAAACGGTTAGGTTTATGAAAAAAATAACAATTATAAAAACGTCTTAAAATTACATTTTCTACCAGAATACATAATAAAATACAGGGTGTTCCATAAGAAAAATCAAAGTTGGCGGCCATATTGGAAAAATGGCGGCTAAAATAATTTTTTCGACTTTACTACAATTTTTTAAATAAAAAGTCCAAGGCACTTACCTTTTAACTTTTTTTGATATCTCTTATGGTTTTCGAATAAAATGGATGGCACACTTATATCAATCACCCTGTATATTTTGGGTTTATTGATATAATATCATCTTGAATTGGAAATGTAAGGAAAAATAAAAGACAGCATTCATTGAACAATGTTTTTATATTTGCCACGGACACACGGCACCAACCGACTTTTTCTCATCTTTACGTTTATATAGAATTAATTTGTATGTAATAGTAATAATAATAATAATCATAATAATAATATATACAATGGTACTATCTGTACACACAAACTCACATTTCAAGAACGTTATATTTATTATTAGCGTTGATGTAAAGCTTGCACATAAACCATGGAGTACAACCACTCTCACACGTCAAGCTTCACACAATCACACACACGACGCCAGCATCGCCGCCGCAAATACATTCATATGCTCAGACATCCATACGCACACACACATACTATAGTAGGTCCATAAAAAACTTGTAAAATGTGAAACACTGGTTTCACACTAGAACGCCTATTGACGACTCGACTTAATGAGGGAAATTCCCGTAAGACAAAATATACCCCCCAAAAAGCATCTCCATTACAAATAGGGTTATTGCTTTATTTTATTGCAATATGCAGCCATAAAATTTGTCTTTTAAAGTGAAAAAATCGGCTGTTAGGCTTTCCATAAACAAAAATATTCTGATCTACTGCTAGCGTTTATTCTAGTTTGAGTTGTCTATGACATAAATATGTCCAAAGTAGAGGAAAAATCTAATGGTAATAATAATAAAAAGGTGGTAGACGTCTCACATTGTCGAAACAACAGCAGATTTGGTACAAGGGAAGGATTGTAAATAACCCGGGCGGTAGAGTATGGGGAAGTTGGCATAGAAAATTACATAAAAATATACAATAACAACAATGAGTGACGGATACCACCAGAGTATTCACAAAATGTACAATAACAATAGTAACATTCAATAAACTAATCCATACTAAACTCAGATAGTAATTCGAAATCAACCTACATTCGACACAACCTTAAAAAATAGTAGTTGGTGTTCTGAGGTTTACAAAAAATATCTAAATAAAAGTTAACATCCTTCATAGTAGGGTATTTATAATACTGATTTAATAAAAATAGTTCAAAAAATATAGACAACAGTTCTTTTTTTTAGAAATGTGGTTTGTAAAATTTGGGGAACCTCGAATGCTACTTTAGCAGCTAGACAGAAGGAGACGGGCTTGGCTAAAGCTAGACAATTCGTGACTGCTTTTTACCTTTACGATCGAATCTACACACTTTGAGTCAGTCAATTTAGAGATCAATAAAGTTTAGCCCTCAGTCAGAGGTGTAACCTCCATAGCCACTTGCAAGCTTCTACAGATCTAACGGGCTACAGATATACAGTATAGTGCACATGTGACAGTTATAAGCTTCCAGATGTATTTTACAATATTTCACATTGAGTTTACGTTCATTTCAGTAATATTTTTGTGTTTTATCTTTATATCATTTACATTTATTTCTATATTTAAGAACATCTAATATTAAATTCTCAAAAAAAGAAACATTTAAACAGATAGTAAGGCCAACGATTATATTTTCATATAAATTACAAAACAAATCAACCAACACAACAGTTTTTACATAGAATTTAGTTATCGATTAATATTGTCAGACGAATATGGTTTGAGACACCAGCAAGCGTAAAGTTCGGTGGGAGGATGGTACTGGGAGGGGGGGGGGCAATAACTTAGGTCTGCAGTCCTGACGAACACAGCTTGGCAGATTGAAAAATATTCCGATTTACAATTAATTACTTTGAACAATTAAAATATAACTCGTGAGCTGAGAAATACACAGTTTATTCGTGGTTTTAAAATACACTAAGATAACTTAACTTGTCAGCAAGTAGTTTAATTTTCCTTCTGAACATAATCTGCTTAGTGATAAATTGCACACTCATGTTATTAAGTAACACAACAAATCATTTAAAAATATGCTTTAACTTTTTTAATGATACCGAAGAAAGCAATAGGTATTTGCTAAAACTTGGTGTATAATCGTTTTATTTATTGTTAAGGAAATACAGAAGCCCTGTACTCCTTTGTTGTGTATTTCCCATATGGGGGTATAATGTGGGTGATATGTTCCGTTTACCTTATATTCCTTTAAAATATAAGATTTGTAATCTACGTATATTGAAGGGGGTGTTAATTTGATCCAAATACATAGAGTAAGGTAGTTAAAGAAACTATATCTAAATGAAAAAGAGTAAACAAATCTAAATCTAAAGTAACTGTAAAAAATATTTTCTTCTTTAAGGGCGTTTGTACAATTATTTGGCAAAACAAATATAACATAGAAAGATAAGCTAGCTAGTCAATTGTATCACATGTCACGAAACTTGTTCAACAGTTTCTGGTTCTTTGATATGGACTAAATACATCCTGGAAAATAGTGAAACGATGTCTAGGAACCCAATACACTTTCCATTTGGTATTCTGATTCAGGAACTAAAATTCATTGAACTAATTTTGTAATTTTGCCTACATCTCTAAACATCTTTACAATCTCATTTATCTGATGCAACTAAACGACTATACTAAAATCCTAAATAAGTTTAATTTTCTTTGTTTCCTTTGGTACAAAACGGGTTGGATGATAAATTGTTTTCCTGGTGAAAGAAATGCTTTTAGAAAAGGAAATTTAAGAATCACCATTGGTATGGTAATTGAATTAGGTGTGGTTTATGATAAACATTATAGTAATATAATGCAATGTAAATAAAAAGGTAAATATTTGAACAGTTATTAATGAGTCGAATAACATTTTATGTACTGGAAAAACCACAAATCAAAATACGGCAAAACGTCAATAGTAATTTAAATACTTAAATGCATTTATTTCACCAAATCTTTGTCAAATATACTTTTATTTTCCAGGGTTGAAAGACAATATATTACTTAAAAATAATATAGTCTAAAAAGACAATATTGTATATATAAAAAAAATTACAGTTCATCTGTTTTCCTAAAACAATTCTCAGCTAGTCAAAACAAAAAGATAAGAAAGCTAGCGGCTGGTTTGAAACTAATAGGGCCTATGGTACATCCAACAAGTCAAATAAATTACTAAATACACATTTTATCTAATTTAATACCGTACAGTCAGTTCATAGATAAAAATAACTTTTTTGGTAGACAAAGTATACAAAGAAAGTTTTACATTTTCCTTTAAAAAATGATGCGCTTTAAATATATGTACAATGTTACTATACGTTTTCTATTCAACGAGTCTGCCCCACCGCTCAAGTATGATTTTATACTTAAGTAGTTATCGTTTACTTAAGTATGAGAGTAGCTTAAGTAGTGCAATACAACTTCAGGCAATAACGACAGAGATATATATGTACAACAGATATAAGCTTACGGTCTGTGGCAATAACATCACTGTTACCACCGAGCGGTAGTTATTAGTGTTAACAACAAAGAGTTGCGCATGCCTACTTGTGGAAGACGCCGTCAACTCATGAAAACTGAAGGTTTTGGTCCATTCAATTTAAGATTCATCCAAGTGAATCCATTTGATATTTCTGATTAAAATAGAATACAGGCTTATAATTTGGATATTAACTTTACAGCAATTTTCTTTCATAAGTATGATGTTAAATTATTCCTTTGTTTTCGATTTGCTTTTTAATCAATCTTTCTTCCGTTTGATGTGTTTGTTTGGGCCACTCTCAGCAAAGATCTTCTAATGAACTAGACGAATATTTAAAACAAAACAAAATATAAAAATGTATTGTGATTAATAGGTTTGATATTTTTTGAATAAAAATGCAATTCGGATGTTTTGGTATGAATTTATAGATTTAAGTAGAAAGTATTACTTTGAGGACTTTTATGGACAAAAACCCTCACACCTAATTAAACAAGTAGACAGCACATTGAATCATGTGAAAAAAACTGCCAAATTAGCAAGCAGAGCACAACAAATTGTAACACTTAATACAACACCGAACGGCTTACCACAGTATCAAAATACAATTTCATCTAAAATCACTTCCGATAATTGATGTTAAAGCATTAAAATGAACTGCTTTGTAAAATCTATTTCTATGTTAACATAGTATTGCTTTGTATTCTTATATTACGTGGGCATGGGAAATGGAACTCAGGAACAGGGTATGAAGGGTAGATCTGTACACATGACACATCCACTCCAGACTATTGCTCGTTATTGAGATATTTATCACGTCATTATAGTAATCCGTATAACGATTCCAGATATATGTATATATTATTCATACACGATAATAACAACACGGTCTGTCGCAAGAAACACACACGACGCAACTCAGTGCCAGGTCCACAAAAACAGTAAGTGTAGAGTGAGCTTCATCTGACAAGATATACAGCTGTTATTTCAGAATCCACTAAAAGCTATATACTTAGTATTTTGGTTCAGGGTGAACAATGGTTATGTACATAATTAAAAACGATTCAACCAAAATTAAAGAGGCGCACAGTGGTTAATTAAATGCCCAAATTGAAAACGATAACCTATTAAAACAGTTTCTAAATGTTATTTACAAATAATCATCCGCTTAATTAAACCAATTTCGAGCACTCTTTCGGTAATTTGAAGTGGTTCTACTCTAGATATACTTACAAACTTCAAACCAACGATGGCGTGCTCAAACTGTTCGATGGTTTTGACCTATTTCTGTTTCTAAATATCCTATTCATTTCTGTCTCTCTATTGCATTTTACACATAAATTTATAATTAGGCCTTCTTATCAAAAGCTGCCTACAAAAAAATAAAAATAAAATAAAATGAGATGCTCAATATGTTTGTAAAGTGGAGCAACCGAGACCATGGTAACAAGGTATGCTTGAGGCTACCTACACTTATAACCAAAATACAATGGCGGCCGACACTCTGCGAGGACAAACAAGCTTAGGATAGAGTCATAATTTGTAGGGCAAGTTCCTTATATTTCTTTTGTAAAATAACTGAAAAATATAAACAAATACTATTGGAGTGTAGAAAAGTTGAAGTAATATATAAAACCCATTTATTAACTAAGTGAGCCCACAGGCAATGAAAAATAGTCATTAGTTTTGTAAACAGATTTATAATAGCTCTATTCACTTTTAAGATAACTCTTTTGTGAATAACGGTTGCTCCACTCACCAAAAACCATCACCGAACATGTTTTATTTTAAAATTAATCTTCAAACAAACAATAATTAATTAGTTATTAAATTACTATATGAGAGCTTGACAAAATCTAATAGCATATTAAAGATTGGAATTAAAATTCCTTTAGCCGCATTGGTCCATTTAGTCGTTTGCATATCTTGAGAGTCTTGCATTTAGGATAACTTCGTCAAAAAATCTCCTGTATTACCACTGTTAAGAGTATACCCTGTAATATACTAAATATAATCTTGGGATGATTAAACTTTCAACAAAATATACTTTTCAACAATTGATATTGAAAATGTTTAAAAAAACCTTTCAAAGATTCAAAATTAAATAAAAATATTTATAAATAAACCGAGTGTCGAGTGACGGATTCCAACTGCAAACTACTGCCTAAATTGTCGGGCTGTTTTAACAGACTTAAAAACAACAACAAAACAATAACATCCATGTCAGCTACAGTGCTCCAGTAAAATTTTAACAATAGAAACTCCTTTTAAACTTAAAATAATTTAATAACAACAACAATCGACAGTAAGTATTGTTTCAAATACAATAAATAGTAATGTACGTATGTGTTTTATTGTACGGTTGCTCACAAACATTAAACACATCACTATTCCCAGTGCTTTCTGATTCAACAATACAATTAAGTAGGACTTTTCGGCATCGTCAAAAACGAGTTTAAAGGGATTTGACGTATCTTCTTAAAACGACTACTATTGCAAATTATTTAATGTTTGCAGCGAGTTAAAAAAGTTTTTACAACTTACAAATAGTGGGACACGGGAATTAGGAGTGTTCTTGTACAGGGTGAAGGCTAGGTTATATTATCATATATACTGACATAGTGCAGTGTATACTTAAGATTAATTATGATTAGGTTAGCACAGGACCAGAGACTTGTCTTGGGCGAAGATTTCAGAAACGTTTGTCAGTAGTCCACTGGGCCCAAGAGTCCACAAACCTGCAATTACAAGGAAATAAGTGTCACTATTGAATACATCACAGGATTTACTGCAGTTAGTTGGTTGAGTAAAACATGGGAATAGGCCTACAGTACATTTATTCAAATTATAAAATATTTAACGAAAATATCCTACATTGCGTGCTACAATTTAAATAGCAATACCACAATTCCACATAATCTTTTAGCTTCACAGTTTTGAAATTTGCGGATTAGATAGTCAAATTAAAATGTTAACCTTAAAACAATGTACTGTACTGTAAATTAGATAGAAAATATCAGTAAAAACCCAATCGGGTTAATAAAAAAATTATACCTATTTTCCTGTACTCAAAGTTGTTATAAACCCAAACATTGCATTAAATAATGTTTACATAATTATTTTAATCATCAACACTTCTACAAGTTTGAGTTTTATATCTTTTAGCATTTTAATACTTTTGTAAATAAAATTATTATTTTATTAAAAATATCAGTGAAAGACATGCTTTAATTTATCTTTATGCAACTAAGTAATTAATGAGTGATACAAGAATTTAAACAATAAAGAAAGACTAATGTATTAAATAATATGGAATTCAAACTGAGAAACTTTACTTTCTGGTACAGTACGATTCAACAATAATGGTATGCCATCGTAGTCTTTTCTCGTTTGGAACAGTTCTTATGTTGAGTAATACGAATGTATCATAAAAAAAATTAAAGTCAAACCAATTACATAGACACATAGATATTGTTATTCATTATTTTGTATTTCAACAGGTTTTGTGTTTTGTGCAGTCAAAGAGCTACGAATATGATGTAACTTCCTTGCTGATGAATAATCAAACAAAAACAATCTTTTTTGAATACTCAGTGAAGGTTCGTGTTATTATTCATTAGGATTTTATTATTAATTTTTTAATGATGGTAGTGAAAGAAGTGTAATAATTTGTTTATAATTGTAAATATTCTAAAAAAGTGCAATTCCAAAGACGGTGTACAGTTGTAAAGAATTGAGATAAAAGTCACTAGTGAAAATATAACTTTTGTCTGCAGAACGTCTCATATGCTAAGTACTAGACACCTTGACCTTGGTAAGACTAGACACCTTGGCCTTAGTAAGTCGAGGTAATCATTCACGTAGACTATTGATACAGTCCACACCAACGCCAACATTATATCGTTTGATTTACAAACATATTACCATCGCAATATATACGAAGAATACGAAGGATTAATAAAGTATATGGATCAAGATTGATTGGTTATCACATCGCAAAGATCATCGCATTAGATTAAAGTTGATTATCAATTCAGTTTAAGGTTAATTTGATATCATGATACATTGTTAAAATTCAGTCCCATCATACTATTTACAATCTTATATTAAACGTGAACGTATTCTGAATCAATTACAGGACGGATCTTCATACATCTTCTTTTCAAGAAATTATTGTTTTGAGAGGCAGGGGCTTTTTTATGTCGAAGCCATAACCGTGACTTGGGTTTAAATTTGTAAAATGTAATTAATTAGGAAGTATTTTTAATTAGAAAGCTCAGCAGCCAACACGAAAACGTTTAAGTAGTTTTTGAACTAAAACAATTTTTTAGTTCCACTGAAAAGATGCTAAAATTCATCATAAATGAAAAACAAATTAAATTTTGATGAAGATTACTAAGTCGTGTTAGTCTGTTTTCACTATGTATACTTGATGTATCTTACTCGGTCGATGATTCATATAAATTGGGTTTAAATACTTGCTGTTCTAATTTAATTTGTGAAACTGTCAAGCATCTGACTTAATCTTAGCGCAGTATAGTTTAGTTCAACCAGGAGCATTTTTAACGATGTTTACAGTTTTAGAAAACGTTACAAAGCACGGGTAAAGCCTCTCGTGTTTACTAAACTTATAAATATAATTGGTATATATTATGAATCTGTAAATTCCTTGTATCTTAATAGTTTCATGGTTATATCGATTTCTTAAATATTAGTATTTCAACCATTATTAGATAAGAACAGATGTGAAGACGTTCGTAAAATCAACATTTGAAACTTAAAATATTATTGTATTAGGGACTTAGAGTTCCTTTAATTTGGTAGTGTTTCCGTCTATCATTGATAGTCTCCTAATGTGATGCATTTTTCATATTTTGTAACCCCATCAATGGTTTAATATCAATATCAAAACAGTTGTAGAAAATGGTTATTAGCAAATACAGAATTAGTTTTATAGAATGTATGTAGAACAAATGAAATTACAAGTTAGTTTAGATATGATTTAACCAAACTATTTATGTAGAAGAAAATAAGTTGAATCATGGAATAAGAGAAATGGTGTTTGATGACAAGATTACCTGAGTCTCAATGGTATCCATTAGTGAACGCAGCTGGTATCAAGGATCCCTGAAACAAAAATATACCATTTAAATTAATTAAGGCGTTCAAAGAAAGTCAATAAGCTATTCAATGCACAATAATTGGAAACATATTAGTTTGGCTCACTACAGTATTGTGTAACTGTTGCAACAAAGTAAAATTCAAAAGTCATGCCTATGTGGTTTGATGATTGTATAATGTAATCAATTTTAACAATGTGAACGGTATTGAGCAATATTTATATATTGAAGCATATTTATGTTTTACTTTGTTGTTGTTGTTGTTGTTGTTGTTGTACTTATTAATTGAATATTAAACAACCATAAGACATTATTTGCTTTAGCGGTTATAATGAATTAATTTTCAACAGTGATATGGTTTAATGGCTTGTTCTTTAAACCACACAAAGGTAGATCGCTAAAAAGGCGTGTGTAGCAACTTACGGGGTTGTAGTTGATGGGGGCGCGAGACACAGCGATGGCAGGGAAGCCCGGTGGCTGGGGGCTGGGTGCCTGGACGTACCCCGCTACGCTGTCCGCGCCGCTGGAGCTGTAGATGTCCAGGGCTGGGCCGGGGCCGGGAGAGTTGGCCGGAGGATAGCCAGGTCGGGGGGTGACAGTGTGAGGACTCGCTGGGGGACCGTAGCCCTGCGCCGCCGCCGCCGCCGCTGCTTGGTAGTTGTTCATCACTGTAATATCAATTGGCGTTAGTGACAGCGATGTGATGTACAGTAAGTGATGGTGTGTAACATCACTGTGCAAACTCAGTTTAAAATGAATATGAGTGATTGAGGCAGGAATAAAAGACGATGTTAAAAGAACTAAGAACAAATAATGCAGCCAATTTGAAACATCTTAGTAGCTTAAGCTTACAAAACCTTCAGAACATGTTTAAAAAATCCTGGTACATACTTATGTAGACTACACATTTTAAACGTACACCTGCATGTCTGTGGTAAATTACCTATGAATGTACATTCCTTATACTTGAATGAATATAGGGAAGAGTAGCTTTTACTTGTTTTCCATAACTTCCTTTACAAACAGGAAGGAAAGGATCAAGAGTGAGCAATACACTCATCCCTATAACTCCCAAATCTAGGGACTCATGTGCTACAACTCTCCCAAGCCAACCGCTTGCGGCCCTTCTCGAGGTCGGGTCATGTCCTTATACAAACTGTAAATACAATTAATAATTGTGACTAGTTTTTAAACTTAGATTGAATGAGAAATACGCTCATTACAATTCTATACAGATATAGTAGGTACGTGTAAAAGATTATTTCTGCTCATTTATCCTTGAGGACACATGCTAACGATACTATCAAAGTATACTATATTAGTTCAATGTCATGTACCTGATAAAGCCTGAGTAAGCAATGGTGTGTTATTGTTGGGGGTTAGCTGCCCGTTCGTGAGATCAACTGTGCAAAAACAAACACAATTAGATGTTAGTAGCAAACAGCACACATAAAATTATCTGCCAGGTGCACAGTTTACGCCTTCATAAAAACTGACAAAATGATTTAAAATACAATAGCCGATAAAATACTTGATATGTATGCTTAATTTTATCAACATTGTTGCATCCACTTAAATATTTAAGTAATAAAAAAAACACAAACAGCATGCACTACTAATGTCTGTGGTTTCAACCCCAACCCCTGATTAGCATGAAGCGTAATGTTCAAGTAGAGATAAATTGTGTTTATGATTAATACTGCAGGATTTATTGAAGAGTAAGGAAGAAAGACATTTTTGCCGCTTTCAAGGACTAACTACACTCACATGGATTTTGCATGTCAATACAGTTTTTAACTTCCTATACAACATTACGAATCCATCCTGTTAGTTCACAATCTACTTTAACTTTTAATAGGCCTAGTTATTATCATAAAGCAAATATATGCATTACAAGGAGGTTAAGTAGGGGATCCAACATACACCTGTTACTCTCTAGATAAGGAAGTGATGAGGACGGATGTTTAATCTGTATCCTCTTGCTCTACTCCTCCTCATGCTCAAATACAAAATTATAACTAAATTCTAAGGCATAAAACGTCTACAAATGCGTTCACTTTAGGCTACTATGAAAGCAGAATGCAAATTTATGATTCAATCGGTAAATGTCAGGCTAGCATGACATGTCAAACTGGCTGTACAAATGCAGGGGTTTGAATTGATTTCATGATGCATTTAGTGCAGTATTGAAGGTTAGGCTTGGCATAAGTTGGTCGGTATCGTGTATCGTCTACCTGTGACGTAGGGTTTGTCCGACCCACTGGTGTTGTCGGGTTGGTACTCCATGTAGCCCGACCTCTCCACACCCGGGGGCTGACTAGGTGGTGTTGAGGGGGTAGGAATGAAGCTGTACCCAGGAAACCCTGCTAAAACCCAACTCAAATGTAATTCCTGTTTCCAGATTATTGATGTTATAAGTTATATATTTGTGGGCGCCATTTCTGTTAAACTGTTTAAGCCAACAACCACTTGTCAAGTTTTTATTGAAAAGTTTATTGTATCATCCAAGAAAAACAAGACTGTTAAAACTGTTAATATGGATTAACATCACCTCAACAGATAAGGAAAACAGCATTCTCTTTTGATATTTTCTGTGTGTAAGAAGATATAAGCTAACGACCCCACTTTATGAGGAAGGATGATGGACGAAAGGAAGTAGGAAATACCTGCAGCCCCCGAAAGTTAAGGAGTCGGCTACATAAATTATATGGACATTAGTATAACATGCCTTTCTAGTAACTAATCACAGAGCCTCAAGTAGAAATAAATAAGAAAGCTGTTTTCATGCTAAAGTTTTTACTTTAACAAAGAAATATTTGATAGTTGTTTTATTTTATTTAGATATTGGGAGTAAAACAAATAGATAAACAAATTTGAGATACACCTATGAGAAAAATTGTTTATAACATAGTGTTAAATTAATGTCAAACAAACTTAAAAAACAAATATAAAGCTCGAGCTAAAAATATAAAACTACGGGTTTTTGCTAAAACATGCAAAAAATAAAAACAGAAAATCAACAAACCAAATTATATTATGAAAAAAACTGTAAAGACGTCATGTGCACTATCATCACACAACATTTAAAAAAAATTGTTAGCGAAAAGCGAAAAACATGAGACAGTTATAACAATCATTACTGGAACAATGAGTGATAAGTTTCAGCTGTGTATCAATCCTTAAGAAATTCTAGATTGTACAATCAATTGCAAACTGTGACGGATAATTTCACATTATTTAACAAAATGTTCTTTGGAAAACTGTGCACTTGGCAGTAAGAATCAATAAACAAATGAAGTTAGATTGGCAACAACACAACTGGACAAGCAAAATTAGAAATTACAAATGAAGAAAATAATTTGGAAGGAGTCGTTATTTTAAATGAGAAACCATATTCAAAATATGTTTAAAATACTTAAGCAAGAAACTTTTATTTAATTTGTTTACCAAGCATAGAAAATCCATATTTTGCAGTCCAGTCACATGGTTTCTAAACCATTTTGTTTTTTAAATCAATAAACATATACGGGGTCAGACCTTCAATAAACACACTTCAAAACAACCAATTCATCTATTGTATAAGCACTAACTGTTAGTAATATTCAGTGAACTATGTACTCTAAATGCTACTCTACATTGTTATTTGAGGAAAAGTTTTGGCATAAATGACTACTCTATTTAGGATTGAAATGGCATAAAAATAATTATAGCCAAAGTATTTTGAACGATATAGTTACTAGAATACAGTATATTTTAAATGCAAGTTCACAAAGTTTAGATTCGAAGACACTAAGCCATGGATTCAAATGTCATCAATCCTCCGATAAACGAAATTTTCTACAGCCAATTGCTTAAGGCTACAAGACTATTTCCAAATAGATAATACATGATTACTATACACAAATATTTACTATGTTACTACAAAAAACCACACTTAGCCAAGACCTTTCTTCAACACTATTTTTCTTTATACTATTCTACGTATTATTATAAGTAAACCTTTTCGGGTGGGACTATGTTAGACTATGTTAGAACACACAATCTAATCTACCTAAATCTACAATGACCAAATGTTAGTGTAAAACATATAACAACGTTATAAACAAATAAGTAATAGAAACTTAAAATTCCGGTCGTCATCTGAAAATGTTCAACAATGAAAACATAACGTCAGGAGTGTTAACAAAGCGTTAGTGGGGAATAGTAAAATAATCAATTACTAAATCTACTGAACCGATGGTACACAAAACAGATATATAAAAAGACATATATTTAATCTCCTAACTCTACGACACTCTTCTGGACTAGAGACTTCGCGCTATCACAAAACACACACACATCTAATGATTAGTATGTTTACTACGATGGGAACTCAACTTTTACAATAAAATCACAACACTAAGATTAAAGTGATATTTATGCCCTACTCATAAAAGGAAGCTCTTCAAATAAAAATTAAACACGTCCCTTGAAATCAATGTAATAGTTTTAAAACAGTGTTTAAATTATAAAGATAAAGATGTAGGAAGCTACGAATAAATTGTATATACTTAACACAGAGAATCGTCTCTTTAGTAGTAAGAGTGTATAAAAGTTGAGTTTCCAATTCTATAAAAAATTGTTGCAACAAGTTATATCGAATAAACATAAACAAATTAAACTAGTCTAGAGACTGGGATAAAATGAGCTAAAACTTCTCTTAAACACATATCTAATTTGACAAATGCTAGTCCAATCAAAAGTAAACAACGCATTCTAACTTTGTTATCTGTGGAGATCTTGATCACCTCTTCTGCTGTTCAGCTGTTCCTTCAGGTAGGGAACCGTTGCCTCAAAACTAGCCTGTTTCAATCTTGGGAACCACTAAAAACTCCTTACAAACACTGTCCTGACAACCTCTAGTTACTTGCTCTAAATATTTAAAATTATTAGTTTCAAATCTTAGAAACTCCTACGTGTCAGTCGTACTTGCATAGTAAACCAAACTATTCTATATATGAAATATGACCAATATACAGCTTGTTGATTTACAGGGGATATCAGTTAGAAAACTCGATTTGTCTGTTATTGTTTTGTTTTATAACTTGTTACGTGCGTTTGAACGTTACAAGATTTAATTACGAGTTTTATATATTATGGTTCTAATGCTACAGGAAACAGGTATTTGATTCTTTTGAACCATAATAGATACTACTAATGACAATTTTAGAATGTATTAATGATGCATTTATGAGTAGTTGGTATGCATTAATCTTATTTTAATATTTGAAATTATAATTGTAATAGAGTTTTTCAAGTAAAATCTTACCTTTAGTTGTATATAAGAAATGTGTAAGGTATAGTTATTTTAACGTTCTAAAAATTCTTTCTTTTTATTTTATTTTACAATCTCATTAAACAAGTTTCACCGTTCTATACTTCAAAATCCCTTAGACTTTATCCAGATAAGTTAAAGAAGGTAATGTTGCTGTATCTGTACTTTAAGAGTGAGTATAACTGACCGTTTACTATGCGTTAGTACAACTAACCCATGACTCGTTCATTTCTGATACTACAAGGTTTATTTCAGTATGTAATGCATTGCCCTATCCAGCAAAAAGTTAAACATTTACTATTGACAAAACAAAATAAATAATATTGACTAAGTGGTTGTCAACCGGCTGCTACAACACTTAACAGCAGAAATTCAATCAGTAAAAGGGGTTTAAAAGAAAAATAAATTTTTATGGTTAACGACTGATAGTAGGTTCATAAAGCCCCTCCTGTAATAAATTGATTTATTTTGCAACCATCTATAAAATGTAATATATTTAAATAAAAAGTTCAGAAAATGAAAAATGGATAAATGGTACACACATTTGATTTTTGATCATTTTAGAGTTATGTGGGTATGTATTTAATTTCTAAACCATTTAATTCAATGAAACCTAATCTAACAAGAAGAGTCAAATAGTCCTAGCTAACATGAGTCCTCATGCTTAGTCCATTTATTGTTCTAAAATATATTAATATTAACATGTAAAAATTCTATATAAACTACTCTATAACATATAGTTTAAATTCTACTTCTATCCTTAGGAATATATACAACTGAGGAATCAATTGTTATGTAATTCGCTAAAATGGATTTAAATGTTCTTTAAAACTGTGTACTCGTTTAGTAAAGCGGGCTGAAGAAGATAGATCGCTGGAGCAGTTTTAGTAAAACCTAGCCAATATTCATGTTTCTTATCAACACAAAAGTGACGCAGATCCACCAGTTTTGCATTTGAAACAAATCAACCGGTAAACTTCCAAACTAAACCACTCAAGCCACTAATCAACTCCTTTAACAATCACTAAATGAAATGTGTTCAATCGAAGTGAGATCGAACTACATACGATATATATATACAGTAGAGTGAGTCTAATGGTTGGAACGGGATAACCAACTCTAGTAGCCTACTAGACAACGATCTCAGGGGACTATGTACATGTACAGCTAGTCTATGTACTATCACATAACAGCGAGGTCGGAGAATGCCTTACCAGTCAAACACCTTGCTGTAGTCATGGATCTATTTTGGCACAGTGGCACCCCTACAAATACAAACCAGTCAAAACCACACCTGCCAGTCAAAGATATCTGACCGAAACCAAATATTTAACTTCATACATTTAGAGTGGCTTAAAAAAAAACGTTTAATTGAATTGAATGTGTTTTACAAAGGACACAGGGCCAATCATGTTAAAAAAAGGTTAATAATTTTAATCCTGATTATTTTAATTTAAATGCACTCTGTTGACTCTGTTTGAAAAGTTATAAATGAATGATGCAGATATATATATATGTATGTAGGCTATGTATAATAAAGTTACACATGTTAAGAAAATTTTGAAAAACTTATTGCGTAGTCTTGGTTTTATTTATTTGTTAGGTTAGTATAGAAATACAGAAATAGATTTTTATGCTCCCTAAAAAAGAAGTGGTGAAAAGAGTGGCGAGGGAAGATACGTCATTCATGAGATGAGAAGTGACGCCAATAACGTCTATTACGTGGCCTTCGTCGTCAGCGGTGACGGTTCAATCAATGACTTGGTAAACACAGCTTTTAAACATGAACAATATTCCTGCCACAGAAAATGTATACAGAGCATACAACTTGAAATTATTTATCGTGATAAGAAAAATCTCCTTTTTTTTAACAACGCTTCTAACAAATCCTCAACATTTCCTCGTGTACAAAGATTTGCATTATTCAATATTTTATGTTATCTATAAAGTGTTAATATTTACTAATACTTAATATTCAAATAAAATTAAAAAGTGTCCTACAACTGAACCGTAAATATTTAGTGTATTACTGTACAGTTGAGCTATCCCCCTTTTATCTATGGTAGAGTCCCGTAAACTCGGCACTCAAAAACCCGGCGGCCGGCAGTCTGGATAACTCGGCCATCACCTGGCTCAGAAAATTAGTGATTTTTTGAGTCCGAGTTAAAGATGGACTCAAGCCAGCTCAAGTCAAATCATTCGCAACTCGTACTAAGTAAAGGATTTGTTGTACTATATCTGATGACTCAATACTGACTTAAAATAATTACAAATAAAACAGGCGGTTAAAAGGCTTAAAAGTTGTCTTGTTCTTATTTTTAACCCTAGTTCCCGATAACCCGGCATTTCACAAACTCGGCACCCTTCCAGTCCACATTACGCCGAGTTTGCGGGACTCTACTTTATTTTTGAAGGAAAGAGGTTTTGTTAGCTTGGCGTAGGTAGTGTTTGACAGCATACGAGGCCCAAGGTAAATAAACCCTACCTAGTCTGAATCACTGAGAAATGAACGAGTCATGTCTTCCATTACAACTATAGGGAGACATAGTGTTGTACTTGTAGACACTGAATTGACGACACAACTGGTACGTGGCTTGAGTCATATTTATTTATAATACAATAACAATGTTACAGGCAATCCCCCTCAGTGGAGGTACACAAGCATGGAGGTATACACTCAGATATGTATGGACAAATAGCTTATACAATCGTCAGTAAGAAAATGTAGAATTTATACAAAAATCAATATTCTTAAAAAGCGTTGGCACGGTTGACCTCAAGTCGACTTGGAATAACATCGGGTATGAAAATAATTGACTGTTAACAAAATATTTGACAATGTATCACAATCTGAAACGAATGAATTCAACAGCGTTGAACCGCAGGACGTATGTCGTACGTTAAAGCTCGTACACCGCTTACGGCAACTTAACATAACATTCACACAAAGGCATCACACAAGTACGTCTTTGCCTTACCCTAGCTCGGACCTTACAGGGGCTCTAACGGGTTGAACTTAAAACCTACAAGTGTAAATGATAAAATAAACTGGCCTGCACCATGCACCTGTGAACAACTACGGGGGATCTCAAGTCTCAAAACAAACAATCGCCTCAATCGCAATATACTGTATAACGTTACAATGGAATTACAATAATGAAATTAATCTGTGCAGATACCTGTAGTAATACATGAATTTCGCTTTTCTAAAGTATAAATGACTAATACAAACCATAAATTGGCCCTAACTTTATATTTTTAAACTACCTTCAAATAAAATAGTTGATGGAAATGGTGAATAGAGATCCGTTTTCTTTACATGTATTGGATTCCCTATTTTGGTTATATGTTAAATACGGTACTCTTTTAGTACTATTTGTTGTGTGGTACACAATAGATCTATTTCGCATGAATAAAATACCTGTAACTAATTTTAACATTGTTTTGACCTAACATAACAATAACCACTTATATATTTTAGCTAAGATTGGCAAACTGTAACCATACAATTTTAGTTATCACAGGAGCGTAATAAGATTTATGTACACAAATATTTCAGATAATATAAAAGTTAAGATATTTAAACCGAGTCTTTGGTGTTTTGTCCCTGGTACTTTTCACAAGATCTCATGTTTGTCCAACAAGGTTTGTATTAACAAAACAATCTCCCAAGAGGACTCTAGGACTGTCGGGGATAACTCCCACCATACCTAACAACAAACAGACCATTAACTCTTATGGCACCTGTTTGGCAAACAAATATTACTTTCGGCTTTCATAAACTGGAGTCACAAAATTGATGTTTTATGTTTGATATAATACCACATTTTACCATAAATTGATGTGTAATAATAAATCTCAATTTCTTATTGAGGGCAATTTAAGAAAAGGTGTTTTACTATTAATTTGATTATGCAAAATAAAGAAGGTATGATTATAAAGTAATTAAAAGACCCACATCTTCAGTGAACCTGTATTGGCTATACAGTATCATTATTGTAGTTATCAACAGGCTGTAAACAAAATCTTGAGCAGTCGTTGTGTGTTATGATATAACATTGTGCTTTAATTAGAGGGAATAAAATCAAAACACTGTTAAATCTACGTTAGCATGAATGGTAAGAATAGGTTAAGAATAAAGGTTAAAAAGGGTTTGCGAGAATGTTAGAAGGCTTGTTAGTAATTAGGAAGAAACAAAATACTTTCAGCAATAAACATTATGTATCAAGAGGGATAAAAACTATACGAATTGTATACATTTTTGAATCTAAAGACCTGTGATGGATTAGTATTTTTTATGGCTATTGTAAATGCTTATATTGTAAATTTGGGTGGAGAGGAAAGATTCTGTCCAAACTCATTTTCAATTTGCCGGGTTAAAAGACCTGAACCAAAAATTATTTTATAGGATATGCAAAATAGTCTACTGAATCTTGAACTAAACAAACTGTTAGGTGTCGCTTCAAAGCTGCAAATCTATCACTTTATATCTGTTTATGAAACGGGATTAATTTCCAACTATATACTATGCCTAAGCTAACACTATATCCATAGACAGCTAATAGATGATTAAAAGCTAACACTATTCTTACATGGCCACGACATCTATAAGGGATACGACGTGTGACTTATTTCACATAATAGACACTAAGTTATCTACGACTAGTAGTTGGCTTTATTGTATTTTTACCTATTGCTATAGGTTAAGATCGGTATGGCTATATTCCATTATAATTTATTATAAACTTGTTTTATTCTTCAACAAATGTACTAAGTTGCAAACGAAGAAAAATCTTTGTTAAATAGGTTATTGGATATGTCCTAATTTCAGCACACCATTAATATTGATCCAATTTATTTAAAATAGACCACTCACAGTTTGTGTAGTATAATTATTTCCACTTACCTAACTTGCTTGGTAACAATTCAATCTTATCATAGGAAAAACTTAATATTATTAAAACATAATATTTCATAACATTCACTTTAACCATATTACCTTAAAAAGTCTTAGACGGAATGATTGTGTTTCGAAGTTTAAAACTGCCTCTTTACAAATGAACGCAATGTCTTGGATCTCGCACTCGGTGTTGTGTGTTTGTGTGTTGTTCACAGGGGCATAGCATGCAGATAAAGGGGATCGAGAGGGTACGGGAGCAAAGCGAGGGGATGGTGCGGGTGATGGTTATTACCTGCAGGGTAAGGGAGGCCGAAGCTAGGGTAGCCAGAATACCCGCGACTGCCTGCATAAGCAGCATACAGCGCTGCCGGAAAACCTGCGAACAGAACGTTGCCATGTTAGTCAACATAGGCCTAGGATCACAGGCACAATCTGATGAAGAATATTAGTTGTGGAGCATTTTAGAAGTGTATTTTTCTGTTATATATAATCTAAATATGAGGTTAGGAAAAGTTATTATATTATTAAATGTATTGTATATACAAACACTTATATTTCAATACCAAGCCTGTACTAAACTCCACTTACTTTTGTGTACTGTATTAATTACATTTGAAACACTTTGCTTTACAAATGGAACGTTTCCTACATTATAGTTTGGTGACCTCTCTTTTTGATATAATGTAAGCTTCAAATAACTTTGTAGTGTCGATTTTAGGAGTTTAAATCGAAGATAATTTATTCAAACAGAAGAGATGTTATAAGAGGTTCCAAATGTTATCGTAGCTATGTAATTAGAACAAAATCACTTTCGTTTGCTTGGATTTAATTTAGTGTAGTTGAGGTTCCGTAAAATGAAAACTTTTCAATAATTACGGTAAGTACTTACACTTACCAATGAATATAACAAAATAGATATACTGTACTGTATAAAAAAAACAACCGTATGCAAAGAAAACAGAGAACAAAGTACAACAGAAAGAGGATTGTTGTTTTGCCTAATATATACTAAGACACTTCTTTTAGAGGGTCTATAATGGAGAAATTGTTTTTATATTGAAATAGAAAACTTAAAATTTGAATTTCCAATCCAACACATAAAAGCTTTCAGCAGTAAATGAAACGACACTAGACTATGCCACATGATGTGGCCTACCTATTTCTATTTGCGTACTGAGGAAAAGGACTCGAATATGATTATGGAACTTACCATCATGCATTTGCCCCATTGACCAAATCCAATCTAAAATCAAAGAAAACAGTTAAAACATCATTTATATACAAATGAAGATGTCTTTATGTAATCTGTCTTTAAAGTTCAATGATAAACGAAGTTATGTTAGGTTTGATTTGATTTTCAAATAACCCTCCATGAAATTTCATAAGCAATTTTAGTGTGATCCACAGCACTAAAACTAAACAATAAAAAACAATAAGAACAAAATAAGAATGTTTAAAAACTAAACAATTGTTCTAGTTATAGAAGTACTTATTTCGGATTTCATCTAGCTATCATTATTTAAAAATTGTCAAACTATTAAAATATAAAGTGAAGTTTCTATTTTAAAACCACTAACTAAACATATAAATACTTATCTATATTGAATGACCAGCTCACAGACGAATCGCATTTTTACAATGCAAAACTAAAAAAAAGAACTATAAAATAATTTAGAACAAAAAGTAAAACGAAAAATCTGAATAATGAAAATACTATAGTTCAAAAAGTTAAGAAAATTGTGTTTTGAAATTTAAATTGATATGGTCGTCTGATTTTGTTGTGCTTTGATATAGTTGAAATATTTTCCCCTAATGCTTCACTAAAGCTCTTGTTCGCTTATCAAACAAGTATCACGCTTTGCGTGAAGATCTTTTAAAATGTTTCTAAACACCAAGAATCTAATTCAGTGCTTCATGCTTGGATATTATAAGTATTTCTCTTTGTATATATTATGGGCATATTTGTACAAATAATTATAAGTTAACATTTCTATATGACTTTTTTAAGCTGTCAGAAACTAAGACTGTACAGAATGGAATAAAGATACAAGCGATTCCAATAAAAAACTAACATTATTGTAAATCATTGCTATACTTTTGGTGTTTCTACGTTTGTTGATTAACTTTGAAATGGACAAATCAATTTTGATCCTTACAGTACAGGTTAAAGGTCTGTAGGAGCAATATAAGCCTTTTGCGACCTAGTGCAAAGAAATCATAGGACTTAAAGGAACATTTCTGATCAAAAAGCACCACACCTTCTATGCTTGAGACTTCACAAAAGCTATCTACAAAATTATTAAGATTTCATATATATTTCAACTTTTAAATTGCCTTGTTATCGTTTTAAAAAGAAAATAAAAAAAACCTGAAAAACTAAAGTTGTTAAAACTAAAGAAAATGTGCAGGAATCACACTGTAGGTCTATATAATCTTTTCTATTAGTTTTGTCACCCGATTTAAAAAGATGGTGGGAAAGGAAGCCACTACTGCTATGGTTTCTACTCTACGGTCTACCGTCTACTTTAAGCAAAGACGTTTTAAAACAGCAAAACAATAACATTAAGAATAATTTAAAATTTATTGATTCGAAACATAACAAAACAAATAATATTTTTAATTTTAAATATTGGGGATCAATAAAGTTAATGAAAGTTAAACTACTAAGGACTCGTTGTACCTTTAACATCTACTATACTTATTTACAGTAGCTTCAGGCGAATATTCAGCTCAAAGTAAAAAACAGATTATATCTATAGAAGGATTAAGATACCTTTTAATATTTCCTAAAAGGATTTTACAATTTTCGATTCAAATGAACATTCGAGTCGGGCCAAAGCCTCGCTACAAAAATCAAAGGGTTTCTATTAATATCCTTTGAGAAGATTTTCACCTGAAACTTATCTCATAACGAATAGGATAAGTGATATGTTAATTTATACCAACATTATATATATAGCCTTATTCTAAACATTAAACAGTTACAAATACTGAGGCTACCGTTACAAATCTACTCCTATCTCTAATACTATCCACACTTCTCGATGTAAGTTCAATACATTACGTTGTAAAATTATATATATTTATATGTATATATGTGAACCCCAAACCTTTTTAGTGTTATCCCTGGAAATTCCTACTGACGAACTCTACAACTAGAACTAACAGTAATAATAATGATCACAAACACACAAAAATAATCCATTTCTTTGGTAGCCACATTAAGTACATAGGGGGTTTATATTAATACTTTTGATAGGAAACAGCTGTAATTACAACATACCTTTGAGATCGCATAATGGTTCTAAATATGGGAACAGAAAATTATCATAGAAACATTTAAACGAAAACAAATTCGAAATTTAGAAAATAATTTGGATTAAAATTAAAACTGAAATTAAAAATACATATATAATAATTTAATACAAATAAGTCCTGTTGAATACTAACGTTTGTATGAAATATTTAACACAATAAAAAATAAAAAATACTACTTTTGTACACCTAAAGTTATTTTGAACGGTGTGACAGTAACTTAGAAAGGGGCCTAGGTATGGATATGAAAATGGAAGTATACGATTATTAAATGCGAAAAAGTAAAAAAAAAATAGATTTAGTATTTTTCTTTAGGAGCTTTAGATATAAAAAATACGTTTAAATACTCAAATTATAGCTTACAAAGGTAAGCAGATGAAGATAGACTTAATTCCAATAAAAATAATGAAATTCTTATTGTAATTCTGTTTATTCTTATGCAACATCAAAAATTTGAAAAACATAAGAAGAGGAATGAATTATAAATTTTATTCAAAATTGTTTTAAGTAAGAAGTTTGTGAAATTAACTTCTTATTGTAAAAATATGGCATTAACTCGAATTCCTAAAAAATACTTTCGTAAATTCTTCAACTATAAACACAAATCTATTTGACCAATAACTAATTATTGTCAAATAAATGAAGCTCAAACAAGTTAGACAAATAGTTTTCCAAATGCAGTTTTTCTAATCTAACTAAAATTTAATATTCTAATCTAAACAATATAGAAGAAAAACAAATCGTCACGAATAAAAAGGTTTTCAGAAATCTATTTTATGCAGCCATATTTTATAAAAATTAAAAATACTTTAGAAGTCGTTAGAGGATACAAAACTACAATTTATAAATTGTTGTGGCACAATCCTCAATCTGTTATCTAAAAAATAATGATGTACTATAAACACGCAACGAATACGATTTTGTAACTAAAACTTTTTATGAAATTTCATGAAAGTTTACAATAAAAACTAATATGGTATTTACAGCCAACAACGAAACGAAACTGTTTTTATAAACAAGAAAGAAATACGTGAAAAAGATATGTGGGTGTACAAATAAACATAGAGAGAACTTAAATAGTGATAGCCTTTACATTAATACAATTAATAAAATCATAAATAATAGTTATGACAGTATACCAGAAATACATGTACAATGTACAATTTACAAAGGTAATAATATCACTCAATAAATATAATTAATTGATGCTTCAATCTTTGGCAACGGTAAAGAATCACAATGTCATCTATTACACAGCACAAGAGATTCTAATATCTGGGAAGGACAGACAACAGGATTATATACATTTCGACTAATATAGTAAAGGTGACAGTAAGGATTGTTGGAGCTATGCAAGATATCAAACGACTTCCTACAAAATAACTAATATATTTCAATATTAACCTTATTTGATATTACTGTACGTGTTGGCTGATCAATGAAACGTTTTAGCAGTACGTTTTGCCATTAAATGGACAAAAAAAAATAATTCTAACTTTTAATGATTTGATAGCTTAGTTATGTTGCCGCATATGGTTCTTTCTGTATATTTGAGGGGTTATGTGAATACAGACACGATTTACTCAGATATGATCGGCTAGATTTATGGTTGATGGGTACGCGAAATCGTAACACTTTTATGGTCCATTTAACACAGGAAGACTTTTGTTTTAATTAAAAACAATCTAAATCGGATCTGCTACAAATGATTGTATCTCGCTGAAACTAGGAACTACAATACTAGTTTGAGGTATTTCATCACGTAACAAATCACTACTAAGGCGTGAACACAGTCTTAAAGTATGTTTATTACTCGATTATCTAATCTACATTTACCCGTGAATTAATCAATTGACGAATTAATATTCTACTCTAGACTAACATTATAACAGGATGAGATGGCACGTTATATCGTTGTATCTCTAAGTTACGGATGAATTTCAAAAATGTATTTTGTCCAAACATGACGTCTACTAGGTGCTGTGTTGTTTTTCATTGTTTACATGTATCATCAAACCTCACCTGTAATAAGACAGATTTAACAAAATAATATTGTTTTTACAGATTAAAAATTATACTGTATCCCTAAAACGTACTTGTTCTTGTAACACGTTTAATTAACGTTTAGAAAATGTAACAGTTAACAAAAACATATTCAGTAACTTTAGATTCGTAGGACAACTTGGTTGTTTACTGGGGCCTCGGAAACGAAGTGAGGACGGGTCAGAGCCCGATGGCGGCCGGGATGGCGGGGTGGTAGACCGCGCTCATGTCCAGCCCCTGTACACCGAGGAGGTCACTCATGCTGTATGTGAGTGTGGGTGTGGTGGGAGGACGAAGTGCAGCGGCCGCCGTGGCCGCCATCACCCGCTTGAAGCTCGCGGCTGCTTGCATAGCTCCAGCGACGTTGTACAAGGTAGGGGTGGAGGGCGCGGGGAACTGGAGGTACGATGGGGTGATGGGGGTCGGGAGAGGGTATGGGGTGTAGCGGTAGGTGGCACCGGGGGCCGTGGCGCCGCTGCCAGAAGCCGGAGAGGGGTTGACGACTAATAACTCACCACACGCTCCTCGACCCGCCGCACGAGTCTTTGCGAGGTTCGCGGGCAGCATTACCTCCTTGGGCTGCGCTTTCTTGCATTCCACCTGTAACACACATTCAACGTTATTTGTTCGACGAGAAGATGCCAATACTTATACATTATTAGATGTATCTTAGAATGGGAAACTTCAGAGCTGGCTCGATATGTGAAAATTGTCATTAAAGAAGCAAGTCATAGAACAAAAGAGATCTCAAAATTTGCTTTAGTTGGTTGTTAAACCAGACCTAAACATGAAGATAAATGTAGGATTCAAGAACCGAAATTGTCAAGCAATAAGTTTCTCTAGAAACGCAAATATCGTTCTACACGTAAGTATAGCCTAATAGGGATTCCAAAATATAACGAGTATTTTACCCAGGTTGAAACTCTGTCAATTTGGCTAACGGACGTATAAAAGTGTTGCTCTATAAATTAATAAGCAACGAACAAGATTATTTGAAAACGGAACACTAACAAATCCAAGGTTGTCCAATGTAAAATTTTGGAAATTAATGCCAATAATATATACTATTCTTATTTAACTTGTAAGTATACTAAATAATTTCTGTTTTCGTATCTCTATTTACATTGAAATGGCCGCATTAAGCTCTGGTTTTATCCAATATCAAATAGGAAATTGAAAAGACTGGAGAGATGCCGAAAATCCATCAGAGAACCTAAGTCCGACAGTTAATTTCCCAGAACGTAACCTACATTTATCACTGGGCTGCGGTAAACGCCGACCTGCAGATTGTCAGGGCCTATCTGTCTGATATCCTTCATCGTCCATTTACTTTAATGGTTGCGATTCGATTAATTAACAACAAGCCAGGAATATTGCCTTGGAACTTGTCCATGTATAATGTTTGTAGAATTATATGTGACGAGTAAATATGATGTATTCTAAATACTTATAAGTGTTGTAATATTGTAGTCAATATTATAGTAGTCGTGGAACTCTTAAGCCTTCATGGACTAAGTATTCCACAAAAATATGTTAAAAACTCGTGATCACGGCCATAAGTACTAAATATCCAATTATTCGGTAAAAGGGTTTACATAAATGACCATAATTAGTTGAGGTTTTTTTTCATTTATGACAGTCAAAACATTACAGTGAAATATATTCTTATTATTGTGGGATGTTAACTGTAAGTGATTTTACAATCAACTATTGCATGGGGTACATTGGCCATTATATAATGTTTTCTTGCCTTCTGTTTTATCATTTGAAAAGCTTAATCTAATAGTATTAAGAAAAATCTCTTTGTGCATGTTTCAATATTGGAAAACATATGAAACTTCTCAATTTGTTTCTATACAGTATAGGTAGTAAATGTTGCAACAAACACTTACCATTTTATTATTTATTTCGTGAAAGTGGATCTCACAAACTTTGTCTACCACATCTTCACATTGAAACGTAACGAATCCAAAACCTGAAACAGAATTATATAATTGTATTATAATTGTAGCAATTAGGTGAAGACAAAAGCTATAAACAACCCATTCTAATAGTCATTGATAATTTGTGCAAACGATGAAATTCCCTGCCATTTAACGAAACGAAATGTTGATCCTCACCCCAATAAATCACTGACAGGTTTCCAACCAAGATTAATTCTTGTAGGGTTAGGGAAAGGTCTTCATTATAAATTCACCGGTCATACTTCTGACTTACGAAGATGGAACACTAGGTACAATCCCCTCACTGTCCGAACAATCCTTGGCTCTGGCGTACGGACGTTAAAGGGGCAGAGTAACTTGTTTTTAAATATTTAACCGAAGGAGACGTACGTATTACTAAAACTCAATTATATAGCTTAGGAAATTGAACTATACTAAGTTATAAGAATGTCACTTTTAGATTCTTCCACTTAGTCCCATAAAAATAGTAAATTTTATTACTTTCTTAAAAAGGCATTTCCAAAAACATTTTTTGTAGATCAAATAGATCAAATTATATTCTCGGTCAATCAATGTTTATTTCGATTAATGACTAAATCAATGAATTCGATTAGGCATTTTTAATTGGCATATATTTGTTCTATTCGGCTGTAATGCAATATTTTGGTTATTGTTAAAGTGGGTTGGCTATAAACTAGATAATGTAAACGTATGTTTCCAGGCAAGGTGCATTATTTAATGTTACAATCGGTGTTTTTTTCCAACTGCATAGTATTAATTTTGCATCTAAACAATTGTTGAGATGCAGAGAAAGTACTTATTGAGTTAATTTTGGTTTGCAGCAGAGGTTGAAGCTCGTATAATTGTTTTCAAGGAACGGTTTGTGTACAGCCAATATGCCTCAGGCTAATATGACAATGTAAATATATATATATATATATATATATATATATATATATACTGTATATGTGTGCCTAAGGTAAACAGGTATAAGATAATCGGATAATTAAGGAAATGGCTTTAAATATTTGCAATTTTACTATATTTCAGCATATTATAGCTTGTTTATCTTGACAATGCTAATATGAAGCTAAATGTTTGATAAAACTTAACATTCAATTTGCAGATCAAGAAGGAAGGAAGAAGGATCAAGGGACACTGACTAAAATATTAATACAGTATTTTGATTTTGGTTGATATACATAAATAAACATCAATCTCAGGAAACAAAAAACAAAATATTTTTAACTCAATCAAGTGGCAAATAAACTATTTATTCGAGAAAAATATTAATTTATATTTTATAAAAAACATAGGCCTATTTTGCATACAATTTGTTAAGATACAATACTTAGTTTTTATTTCCGTCTTCTACATAAAAATTAAACGATAACCTCTATTTTCTGATATATTATAGCTTTGGCTGGATCCTATTTTTGCTGTACCTATATAATTTAAGTTTCTGGTCATAGGAATATGAGAAAAATTGTGCAGAGTAAGGGCGTAATAACCGTAGAGTTTGTTTGACAATGGAAGAGAGAGAAAGAAGGAGAAAGATTTATTGAGAGGTAGAAAACATAATGTCCGGACCAACTTATATTGTCTAAGTTACAAGATTGAATTCACTCCTTATTATCACAAGTTTGGATTTTCTACAAAACTTTGTAGAACAAGAATTATGTTCTTTTGAGAGCGCTGAAACAAGTTTGAAAACATATCAAGCGGTCTTGTGATTATCTCAAATACATTTCCACAAGTAATTAATTCAAATTACATTGGAAATTGTACAAGATTTTTCACCTTTTAAACTAAAAATAAGTTTTGAACATAAAATAATAACTAAATGTGTGTGATATAAATTAAAAATATAGCAAAGATATAGTTTTAAATTAAGTTTGATAATTAATTTTTGTTTAATTTTCCATTATTCTTATTATTTTCATTTATTTTCCTGCTTATATTAGAACAAGTTAAAAACCTAAACATGTTTTTTATGTTTTCAAGGACACTGAATATACAAATTTGTTTCAAAACTGTGTTTCGTTATTATAAAATTAAAAGATTAGGGATCAAACAAGAAAAACATAATGTACCTTCTTTGCACATACAGTACTTAGTACAACAGTGCAACTCAGTGAGCTCGAATTAAATCAAAAGATTGAACATAAGTTGTGCAAAACATGCCCACTGCTCACAGTTTTTCTAAGTGGCTTGATTAGATGTAATATAATTATTTACAAAACAACCATATCATTCCTATCATCATTTCTACACAGATTTTTGAAAGAGTCTGTCGCTGTCATTACATAAGCAATCGATTGAAATATTCCGATAGATTAGCGCCTCAGACACCCCAGAAGGGTAATTTGCAAGTTAACTAAGTTTTCTTCAGGGCGACGGGACGGAAAGTACCCGTCTGAGCCAGGCTTGACAGTTCAAAATTAATTAATCGCAGATAAGAAAGATAAGCAGCAATCTGTCACCTGCTCGTCACTGTCTTCTTTGTCACAGTTATTTACATTTTTCACTAATTATCTAGCCAAAGCGTCCTGACGACGCCGACGCCGACGCCGACGTCTCGCAGGCGACAACACTCTTGATGGATTACTGCTTTACCTTCAACGAAAATCTATCTCCTACTACTGGGATTTGTGTATTTCAGTCAGTCATTGAACGCCATTAAATCAAATTAACATTGGACCCTCAATTTTTAAAACATTTGTTGGTTAAATTTTGATATAAACAAACTTTAAATAAATAACAAAAACAACAAATTTTAAAGGGGTTTTTGCCAATTCATCCATGTAAGTAGATGATAGATTCTATAACTTTAAGAAGGCATTTCATTTAATATTTCACACTAAATAAAAGACGAAGAATCTGCAAAAAAAATAATTTACTCTTAGTAACAAATACTACCAACTTAATAGCAAAAACTAAAATACTACACTATTTGAAGATTATTTCGGTATTTTAGTGATTCAAATTTGTCATAGAAGTATAATAACGGGTAATTATTTCATGGTAATTGTGTTCGTAAACAGCACCGGTAACTTCCCCAGGAATACGGGAAATGGTAAACCAATGTTGAATTGGTTTACTGTAAACTCACTACTTTGTGAGTTTAGTTTTTACTAATTATGATTATTAGATTCTATAACTTTGAGACGCATTAATAATAGTATACACCCAAATTATGAGTGAAATCGTATAGTCAGGTTTCAGTTTCCACTAAACTAGTGACAGTGGAGTGTGTGGTCCTCATATGGCTGTGCTGTAAATACTACCAGTGACCACTGATAGCAACATATCCTTTGAAAACACGACTCAAACTAGTTTATGGTGAATCCAATTTGGTAAATCGTTATTTCAATTCTTAAATAGGTGGCTTGGCGTATAATTAACTTGTCCTACAATTTCTGAAAACTTAAAAAGTTTTAAGTTAGATTTTTATTATTCATCGTGAATTGTATAATATTTTGATTTACTGCAATAATTTTAGCTTGCATTAGTTGCATCATACATAGGTTCTTATATGATTAACGGAAAACTTTGTTAAAGAATGTACGTAAAGTAATTCAATTCCCTCCACGAACCAATAACAAAGTAAATTATCATTCGCTAATCTTATAACACACAATAAAACTCTCATTCCAAAACACTCGGGGCGAACATTTAATGTCTGAAAAGCGAAGCGAAGACGTGGAGGAGCGATGAGCAAATAAAACAAGCGATTTACTTGTGGCCTCAACTCGATTTTGAGAATAGCATTTGAAAGCTGCCCCGGGCTGTAAGGGTTTCCCAAGCGGGTCACGTTCTCGTCTGTGGAGCGAGGGAAGGGGTCTCACCCACTCACGGCAACATCCGCAATGCCAACTGTTTGATCTACATCTGTTTCCCCGGACCTTGTAATCGTACTCAGATTGATCGACAATCAGTTTAAAACACAGCTTTCAAATAATATCCTATACTCTAGTACGAGCTAATAAATTGCAAAATACAGTACAAAGGGAAAAACATCAGTTGTAACTCATAGCTTCCTCTAAAGATTACTCGATATAGTGGAAAAAAGAGCAAGTGTTGATGCGTGTTTCTTGGTTGTGACGATATAGTAGTGCTGGTTCACTCTTTTAAGGGTAGATTTTACAATTTAAATGCACTCTTTTTTATAGTTAACATCATTTGGACAGCTGCATTCAGTTGAATTTGTATTAAAATTAATTAAATAACAATAATCTTTATAGTAAACAATATACGCTTGAATCAGATTTGTCTGTCTTCAGCTAATCAAAATTCGAGAGTATTTAAGAGAGTATGCTCATGCTGAAGTTTTCCTTTTATATTACATTTACAATTGAAATAAACTATACCGAGCTACAGGTATTTGAAAAGAAGGTGTGTACGTATAACTATTGTAGTTGGTTTGACAGGTGTTGTGTTCGCGTTTCTTACTTGCTAAGTATAATCATGGACAAAACAACACAAGGAAGTATGTTTTATATATGGTATGATGCTAAAAGTTTCTTTACATTTCAAAATTACATGAACTTTCTATCAACATACAAGACAGATAACACCCGAGATCGGAGTCATTACCAGAGTACAGGCATCAGCTCAATGTACAAAGCTTTAAACGGTTCACGAGCGATTGGGGATCAACGCTGCAATGAAACATAAACACGGCTTGGAAGTAACTATGTTTGGTTTTTTGTGCCGGATAAACCAGCACATAACTGAGTTCATTACAGTCCATAAAGGTGTCCATGTTGGGGGGGGGGGGGGGGGCAGATAAGCCAAACGCCCCCAGTGGAAGGGGGGGGGGTGATACTGTGCACGATGGGGAGTTATTCATCCCACAGTAACTGAAACCCGATGATGACATTGTGTTTGTACATGGATGAAACGCTTGTGTCCGTTTATCTTAGCAATACATTGCCAATGTGGCGTTCAGTTCAGTTACGGCGAGATGGTGCAGATATATGATAAGAAAGAAAACAATACTAGTTTCTGTTGTTTAGCCTATAGATATCGA